GAGGACACAACAAATCAATTTTGAATTTTTGTTTTGAATCAAATCACTAAAAAATACAGTTTAAACTGAAATGTGTAAATGAATCGACTTACTGATTGTTATGCTGTTTTTTTCTACTGATGTTTAAATTCAAACTAAAAATTAACTTTTGAACTATCTGTAAGAATGTCCTCATAAGTCACAAGGAGGGAGGGAAACTAGTCTGCAAACAAAATAAAAAGTATGCCAAAATCATTGCAAAATACTTTAAAAAGTGTAGTAGAGTAGTCTCAGGTCATTGACATAGACCTTTCAGGTGTCCAGGCAGCAGGCCAGAAAAGCCTTTTTGTCTAGTCAAGGTCCATAAAATGAACAAAAGCAGTCATAAGAAACAGAACCCAGCATCTAACTGTCATGTCCTTGAGAGTGAGCTTGTTTCATAAATTCCTCCATTAGCTCCTGGGCTTGCCCTGCAGCAGGCTTTCTATTTCGCCCATTAAAACCCATCGGGGGACAGGCCTGTAAACAGTCCGGCCCCACAACTTTGATAATGGCCAAGTCTGTGTCTGTATCCAACTGCGGTGGCTGTCTCAGCCCTCTCCCCTCTCTACTGTCGTCCCACTGTGGCTTATTACCAGCATGCAGTGATCTCGTTCTTGCTAGCAGCTAATGTCCTGCTGCTCACATTTATCCTGCTGTGAGTCTCCTAACCCCAAACACGCAGACGAGCGATCCGCACGCACACAGGCACGTACACATGCTCTGGCTCTCTCCCAAGGTCTGCAGCCATTTAGCCCATCGAGTGCAATGATCTTTGCAGGAGGGCAGACGGAGGCTTGGGGGCATTCGGGGCAGAGAGCATAAAGGGAGAGAGGGGCTGTGGATGAAGCGTTTAGTGATGAATGAGTCAGGGATTTCCCTCAAAGTGCTCATATTGTGGGCTTAAGTGAATTAAACACCCGAGAGGCTGTTTCAAGGGGTTGAACTCCATTAAGGTGTGTGTGGGTGTACAGTTTACAGTATTTACTGTACATTTCTTTTCATGACAAGGCAAGGTTCATTTAGGTTGTAAAATGTAATGTAGAGTGATTTACCAAAAGCCTACTTTTACACTATTAAAAATGTTTGGAGTCAGTAAGATTTTTTAAATGTTTTTCAAAGAAGCCTGTTATTCTCAAGAATGCTGCATTTATTTGATAAAAATAGAGTAAGAACTGTAAGATTGTAAAATATTATTACAATTTAAAATAATTATTTCCTATTTTATTATATATTAAAACATAATGTATTCCTGATTTCAAAGATTAATTTTCACCAGCCATTACTCAAGTCTTCAGTGTCACATGATCCTTCAGAAATCATTCTAATATACTGGCTTTGTGCTCATTTATTATTATTATCAGTGTTGAAAAAAGATGTGCTGTTTAATATTTTAGTGGAAATTTTTTATTTTTTTTTTCCAGGATTCTTTGATGTAATTTGAGTAATTTTTGTCTTTTGTAAAAGTCACTTTTGATCAATTTAGTGCATCCTTTCTGAATACTTTTTTTTTTTTTTTTGCAATAAATAAAAGCAAAAGTCGAATTAGAAAATATATTTAAAATCATTTTGAGATTAATCATTGAGATGTGTGTTGAAGATTTTACTTGATGGTTACTTCACTTAACGTTTTTGGAGTCATTAAATTTAAACTCTTGTTGAAAATGGTATAAAAGTTTTGTTGTTGTTGATTTTTAAACATATGAAACAAACATGGATGCATTTCTTGACACAATTTTCACACTACATGTATGAAAATTGACATGAAATGTTATTTGGATACTATATAATTTTAATTTAATTTGTTCTAATATATTTTGCAAAAAGAAAACACTGTAGAGTAATGCAAGACATTAAATTGTTTCTGAACAATTTCAGTGGGCTTGAAAAAGTTTACACATTTAGCTACACTTATAAGGGCCAACTTATAAAATATTTCCTCAGAAATGTAGTAAAACAAACTAAATAAAGGACATTTGAAGTGGCCCTCGCTGTTTGAACTGCTCTTAAATCAGCCAAATCATGTTTTGCTTTAAATCTAATAATGTTTGTCTGAGGATTACATTTGAGAGTATCTTAGTATGAACACCATTGCATCTCTGAGAGGTCCTCACTGACAGAACTTAAAAGGTCTCTGTGTGTATATCTAAACTTACTTAACCTTACTTTGAGGAGATAGTTGCTGAAAAATGTCACCCAAAGTTAGCTAAATATGACAAAACCTCCTTCTGGGAACAGAAAAGTGGTTCATAAACTAAATAATTATTTATTTTAAAATGCAAAAAGTTTTCTTTTCGCAAAGGGATACTGCATGAGTTTTCCATTTGGTGTTTATTTACCCTGAGTCAAATTCTGTCTCGAGTAAAATGCCTTCACAGATTTCACTCCTCTCTTTCACTGTCCTTAAATTATTCAGCACACAAAAACATCTCAAACATTTATAAGCCCATTCTTAGAGGGACGCATGAGAAGTGTGACCTCGCTGTTTGGCATAAAGGACTGGTTCAAACCGAGTTGAGATAATCGATCAAAGCATAAACACACACCACAATCTCTTCAGTCGGGATACTCACAGACATGATCCAGGAATTAAACCGAAAAAGAGTCTTCTAGTAATAGCATTACAGAAATGACAGGGAATCAAGCCTGTAAAGAGCAGATTGGCTTAAAAAAATTAAATGGAAAAAAAAAAACAGAGCTGTCAGGACGAATTCATTTTTCCTTATTCTTTTCTTCCCTTTCTGCATAAAAGTACAAAAAGAGAGAACTATCAGAAACAGGATAGAGATCCAGGAAGTGCTGCTTGCTGTAATAGGAATAATAAGGCAGAGAGTTAGTGAGATGGCGGTAAGCTGAGTGTGTCATTACGCATTCATTGAGATTAGGTTATGTCATCTCTCGCTCTCTTATAAAAGAGCGAAATAAAGAGAAAGAAATGAGGATGGGAAGATGGCGCTTACAGTGAATGAATACCATCTGATTGCAGTAACCGCGCTGCCGCTGTTGGACATTGAGGGCAAGCAGATTGGTTAATTGAAAGTGATCTGCTAATGAGGTAAATTGACTACATTACCCACGTCTGCCTGTCTCTCAGGGATGGCACAATGAGGGCTGAGTTTCTCATGCTGACTGTAATGGTCTCAATTATGTGGTTGTCTGAAACAGTGTGTCTCCGTGGCTGAAAGGTTAAGGACTCGGGCTGTTTCTCTTCTAATGAACCCCCTCCCCGAACCGTCAAGCAGCACCCCTCTACCCCACCGCCTCTATCCTCTGCTCTTTGACTTCTTCTCTTCTGCTCCTTTTGTAAAGTCATTTTGCAGCCTCTCTCTCACGTCATGTCATCTTCACTGGGGATGTACTGTGGAAAGTAGGAAAGAAGGAGGAATGAAACAAAGTTCAAATTAAAAAGGAGAGGAAAGAATGATGGGTGAATGGACAAATGTAGGAAGAGGTGAAAAAATGAATAAAGGATGGTTAGAATGAATGAATGGACCGGAAGGGAAAAAAAGAATGATGGATGGATAGAAAGAAGGAGTGAATGCATTAATGAATGAACAAGACTGAAACAATAAATGAAGACATATGTAAACTGACTGAGGGAATGATTGAATGAATGGAAAGACGTAAGGCAAAACAGATGAGGGACGAATGAAACGAAAATAAGGTTGTTTCAACCAATGAATGAGTGAACGATAGAAGGAATGAGGGAGGGAAATAAAGAATGACTGAGAGAAGGAATAAAGAAATGAGTGAATGATGGAAAGAAAGAATGAATAAAGGGTGTAAGTAAGAAGTGAACCACTGAATGAAGGATGGGTCGAAAAAAGGAGTGAATTAAGGAATGAAAGAAAGACTGAAACAATGAATAATGGATGGATGGAAAAATGAACGTAACGTAAATAAAAGAATAAATAATGAAAAAAGAAAGAATAGGAGGAGGGAGAAATGAATGATGCAAGGAAGGAACAGATAAAAGAATGAATTAATGATGGATGGATGGAGAGAGTAGGATGAACTCAAGAAAGAATAGGAGGAGGGAAGAGGATTTAATGAATAATAGGGCTGAACCAATGAATGTAGGCTAAGCGGGTGAATGGAGAAAAAGGAGTGAAAGAGTGAAAGAATTAATAGAACAAAGGAAAGAATAAATAAAGGATAACAGGAAAGAAAGGAGGGGAAATTAATGATTGAAAGAAGAACGGAAAGAACAGATGAATGAACAAAATGGAAAAATTAAGGAAGGATAAAAATATGGAAGATTGACTGAACTGAATATATGAATGAGCAAATGAATGTACACTAGGAAAAGAAAGAAAGAAAGAAAGAAAGAAAGAAAGAAAGAAAGGAAGGAAGAAAGAATGAATGAATGAATGAATGATGGTTGGTTGGTTGGTTGGTTGGTTGGTTGGATGGAAAGAAGGAAGGACTGAATGAATGCAGAAGGAGGAATGAGGAAAGGAGGAGGAATAAATTATGGAAGGAAAGAACAGATAAAAGAATAAATTATGGAAGGAGGGATAAAATCAATAAAGAAGAAGGGAATAGGAATGAATGAATCGTAGGACTGAACCAATGAATAAATGATGGGTGGATGGAAAGAAAAAAGGAGTAAGTGAAAGAACAAATAAATGAATGGAACGAAGGAAAGTAAGAGATAAAAACAGAAGGAGGAATGATTGATGAAAGGAAAAAAAGAACAGACAAATCAGCAATGGATTAATGAAGTAAGGATTAAAAAGAAGGAAATAAAAATAGGAACAGGTATAACTAAAACAATAAATGAACAATTGTAGTATGGAAAGAATAAGGAGAGGAAAGAAGGAATTAACAAATCGGTTAATGAATGAATGACTGAACTAATGAAAAAAGAACAGACCGAATGAATCAAGGCATAAATGAAGAAAGGAAGGACTGAACCAGTTAAAGACTGATGGAATGAAGTCAGTAAGAACGTTCAGACATTTCTTGTGTGTGTGTCACAGGAAACAGAGATCCTGAACACGGCAGTGCTGAACGGGAAGACGGTGGCGGTGCCAGTGAAGGTGGTGACGGTGGGCACAGACGGGACGGTTACAGACGTGTCAGACGATGTGCAGTGCCAGTCCACTGATGAAGACGTGGTTAAGGTCAGTCCGCTGAGTGAATATTCCTGCCTCCTTCAACTGTAGTGATTCACTCAAATGAACAAACAAACCAAAGCATGTTGTGACATGTTGACTTTTAATCATAATGATAGGATTCAAATAAAGCTCACAATAAATTTCATTCAAATCGAATGAGGTTTTTCCAATGATTAATGGAGGTGATAATTATTCATCATGTCAGGATACTTATTAGAATTGTAAAAATGCTTCAAGAATCAATCTGAACTTGAACGGATCTGTTTGAAAGTTCTTTTGAAAGAAAATGCATCTCAATGACAGTCCTCAGTCATCTGTCTCCACCTGTCTGCTCTCACTCTCACACTTGTTTAATAGAGATCCATTTCTCTATTTCTATATCGGCATGTTGCAACAAGCTGGCAAGAAGTCACGTGTCATCCCTTGTGAAAAAGAAGTATACTTTAGCATACTGGTAAAAGAAGTACTTATTACAGAAATCATATACAATAAGTGTGAAATGAATGTAATGTTTTTGGACACTCAATTTACTTGCTCACCAATGGATCCTCTGCAGTAAATGGGTGCCATCAGAATGAGAGTCCAAACAGCTGATAAAAATATCACAATAATCCACAAGTAATCAACACAACTCCAGGCCATCAATTAACTTCTTGTAAATCAAAAAGTTGCATGTTTGTAAGAAACAAATCCATCATTAAGGCATGTTAAATTAAAACCATTGTCTTCTGATTCAGACAAGAGCATTTTTCACTGAAAAAACAACAATATTATGGATAGGGGACTCATATTTTAGCTGGAAGGAAAAACGTCTTGATGGATGCTTTTCACTTCACAATATATTAATTGATGGACTGAAGTTGTGTGGATTATTTGTGGATTATTGTGATGTTTTTATCAGCTGTTTGGACTCTTATTCTGACAGCACCTATTCACTACAAGTGCACATACAATATAATTAAGCATACTTCTTATTCACAAGGGTTTCACTGACCGTTGTGTTTCTATAATTTTCTATAATTCTTGTCTTTTTGGGTTTCTTTCAAATGCCTCCAGCTGGCTCTCGGTCACGTATGAGCTCAGATTCAATCATAGCGTAATATAATTATGATATGTTTGATTTCGCATGAGCCGAAATCTGATGAAGCTTGTTTCGAAACAATACTGGATTGTACGATTTTTTTTTTCTAGAGATGGTAATTTGTGTTTGACAGGCCTATTAAGTTGAGGATGTTTAGACATGAAATTCTCTCATTTTAAATGACCCAAAAGACTTATACGCAACCAGCTTCCACTGCGGGAGTGATTTAATGCCGACGACATTCGTAAGAATGTTTTTAATTGCTAATTTCAGTGTATTTCTTCACAGTTAAACACAGCTGTGCTTCAGCTAAAACTCTCTCTGAAAAGCATTAAAGGCTTTGGTCATATGCAAATGATCAAAACGTTGTATTTGTTTACATAGACTGCAGTAATCCAATGTTCGGCCTAACATTTCATTCATATTTATGAGTAAAAGTTTTAGCTTATCCCAGCTCATACTGTAGCTGAAGATGTGAACATTACTTCAGATATGCCGTGGAAATGGAATATGTGCAGTTATTACCTTAAGGAGCTATTTCTACCTGATTTGATCCTTAAAATGACTTCCGTTGGTTTAATCTAATGTAGTCAGGCTGATTCACTCATTAAATAACCAGGTTATAAAACCAGGTAATTTAAATGTCACCACATGAAGCACATATTTAGCCTGAAGTAAAAGTGTGCCTCCAGTTTAAAACTGAACTTTGAACTGTTAACTTTACCAAAGACGGGGGAGTGTTTGTAAAACCGGTCATTATTTAGTGACGCTTGAGGTACAGATATGATATACTGCAGCTTCAGAGTATCTCCTTTATGTGGCCTGACTAGAACAATGCAGGGCACTACATTATTTATTACCTACTCTGTAAAAATGCTACAGTAAAAAACTGTTAATTGGTTAACTGTAAGTTACCCTACCATATACAGTATGTTGAAAAAAATTGTAAATGTTTTAACATTGTATTACCGGTATATGTAAACTGTAAAATGCTGTCAAATTTTTGTTTTTTAAAGGACATTATAAATTTGATTTATTATATATAAATAATTCTATTATAATTACATTTTTACAAATATTTTCTCTTATTTTTTATCAGTAATTAATATTAAGGTGTTTTGTCTGTATCAAGTGTCAGCCCCCTTTTTATTACTATAAATTTAAGATGTTTTTAAAATGTGGTTTTCTTTTACTTTTGTCTAAATATTTTGCTATTGTGGAGATTTTTCATCTGATGTCTTCAAAACATTCAGTAATTCCAACAGAAATGTGCATAATTTTTCATCTTGACCCACGCACAGTCACTTTTCTTTCAGCCCAGAGTCCTAATTTTAACCAATGAGTTCAGTAGTTCACTTACTTTTACAATAACATGCTATGGAAACATGCTATGGCGTATAATAACGTATTGCAATTACTCAATCAAACCTCAGCTGACCATGTGAAAATATCTCCATAAAACATGTGCAGAATGACAAATCATTTTAACTGATGGGGATTAATGTTAAGTACACAAGTGTGACATTGTAGCTGAATAATGGATGGCTGGGCGTACACACTAATGCATAATGAATTTGCTTGGATCACAATCACTGTAGTGGGTTAGAAAGATAACCATTTTGATATGAATTTTCCATTTGCTTGGAGACTGATGCTCTTCGTTCTTTGGAACTAAATGGTTATAAGGAGTGTTTCAGATTGCGAAATATTTTGTTTCCCCAGAGAGTGAAGCGGGGAAAAAAAGCGATTTTCTTCCTATATCATGACCACCAATTTGGATATTAGATTATTATGTATAATTTTGGATAATTTTCTCCCAATTAATTTAATACAGAAACCCATCAGCCAGCCCGTAGCCTCAACAATAGACAGTTAAAGAATGCATAATAGACTAAATTACACAATCTCTTTAGCTTAAGCGGCAGTGCCAACATTCTGAATAGCTATATTGTGCTGCATTATATCATGTTCTTACATGCTAAATAGAAAACATTAGCATTTTTATCTTTATTAGTGATTTAGCAGTGCTACATTGGTGAAAGCACACTAGTTATGCATTCATGTGCTGTTGCTAGTTGTTTAATTCATTTTTTTTTTCCACAAAGCTATTCTGAAATGCTAACTAAAATAGGAGATCTTTATTTAAAAAACCAAAAACAAAAGTGAAGCAGTTGTTTGCTGACATGAGGTCACACATTCTGCATGTTTCCAGACTAGCTGTTGGCTTTGTTTGATCTGTTTTACTGATGTAACCTGCTTGAGTTACTAGCCACACAGCTCAATATGTCTGAAGAGCAGACTGTAAATGCATCTCTTCTGATTTTGTCACAAATAGTGAGAATGTTGGCAAGTAAGGTCATTCTGACAACAACTTCAAATCAAAGCGCCTGAAGTTCTTTCGATCTTGTCACAAACAGCTGGATCAATTTCCAACTTCTGAGAACTTCAAGAGCATATGCGAGTGCTTGATAGTTGACCTTGATTAAAGTATGTAATTTTCACTCATCATATTTCGAAATTCCTGGAAGCTATGCGTACTTGACATTTGTACTTGAACAAAGAAGAGCACTTCCTACACATTCGAAACACAATGTGTATACAATATTTTGAGGGGTTTTTTTTCCTCCTGCTATTTTTCTTCCTAATAGCCTTGATCTTTTTTTTCCTCATTTTCCCCCCTTTTTTCCCTTAATGTAATTGATTTAATATTGTTTATTTAAAAAAAAAACTTACATTTAATCAATTTATTGTGACACTTCATAAAAAGTAAACTGGCCAATAAAGCTATTTTATTTACCTGCCAAATCTAATTATTAATCACATTTGGTGCTTGGTAAAAGTTAACTTTGGATCCTCTTTACTTAGATGTAGGAAATTCAGAACAATTCTGTATTTTGGGGTTTGGTAAGATTTGTAATATTTTTTAAAGAAGTCTCTTATGCCCCAAACCTTTGAACAGGTTTTGTATATTATTAGCATAATATTAATATCTTTCTAACACTTTTTCTTTGTGAACTGTTTTTCTGCTTGTTTAATTCACTTTATTAGATGAGCTAGTCCAACACTTTCAATTCATAAAGTTTTTGTCACATCATTTGTATGTAATTGCATGCAAACCACTTAAATGTGTGAAATGGAAGTTTACTTACTTTAATTGTGCTGGGACCATGTGAATAGTTGCTGGCATTAATTAAACCTGGGCATGGGATTTCAAGTTCCCAGCATGCTTTGCATGAAGTGTAAATCTTAAAATGAAGCATTATTTTAGGTGTTTTTGAGCAAGATGAGAAAGAGGAGAGACTTTTTTGCACTTAATGTTTAATGTTCTGTTACGTTGGATTTTGGAAGTTTCTGTTATGTAGGGGTTTGGGGAGTTAATGTGGTGAAGAATGGAGCTATTGTGTTCAAGGAAGGGTGGATGAATGTTGTTTTTTTAATGAGAAATTACTTTTTGTTCTTGTGCTGTAAGTTAAAAACAGCTTCATTTAGTATGCTAAAGTTTGCTATTGCTAACTGCCTCAGATTCATTTGAGTTACTTTGATGCATTTAGTTTTATTAAGGTTTACTGAAATCAGTTAGGTTTACACTACATAAAGTATTCAATTTAATATTAGAATTCAAGTATTTAATTCTCCTGTAAGTTCACTTAGACAAGATTTCTTATACCAAAACGGTCATTATTTTGGTAATTTTACATGACCATTTGCACAGTCTGTCTGACCTTAAGAATTAAACTAAAACAGTAATATACAACTTTTATATGCAAATTATCTCAATTATGATTGGCTAACCTCTTTACCAGTCAAAACTACTGTACCAGCGCTAATGTTGTCATAAATCAGGATCATTTGCTGAATAGCGTTTATCTTTAAATGTTGATATGGGTGGATATATATCAGGAGCATTTAGTCCATATAAGCTGTG